ATATGAGAATGTGTTCTTCTGCAAGGTTAAAAATTGCTGTGTTCAGACTGAAGTGGGAAGTTGCACCTAAAGTCGAACTTCTCACTTGGAAAATCAGCGAAGCCCCAGCAATCCCAACTTTGTCATCCACGATGGCAGCAGTGGACGCAAATGGTAGTAAAACTGTAACATTTGTGATCTGTACTACTGTGTTTGTGTGCTTGTGATTCACTGCACACAGACCACTGACCATGCTCTATCTGTGAATGTGCATCAGTGGTGTTTTAAACTGTGGAAACAATAACAAAAAGACAGGTATTGTGTTGTATTGTTAGTGTTGTATGAGTGGTTCTATCTGCTAGGGAGCATAACAAAACATGTGTTTCTTTGCTTTTCTGGCTAATACTACTGCAGTACAGTGAACATGGGAATGACGTCATTCCCAGTTCTGACTTCTGAAGTAAAAGACACACAGCATAGAGATGACATTTATCCACTGCACCATCTTCTTGGACAAAATAGTACAGGATGAAAGTACAGCCTGGCCCGTGTTTAACTTCAGATGATATTTCTTGAACACAGTATTAATGTTTTGGATATACATGTAAAGCCATAGCAGCTGTTTCATTGCATTCTGGTGGGTTTAATTCATTTTGGAAAGTTTCACAATAAACTTTTTTAAGCACAGAAATTTACAATAAGTGTCTTTCTTCAGATAAGGAAAACATTCTTTTAGGCTATATGTCAGAAGGGAATTTCATTACATCCAAGGAATAAAGTCTTTCTTCATACCACAAGTGTTCCTGGAACTTCAATCTCGTATATGGAGTAGGAAATGTACTTTGGAAGTTGTGCCAGAAATTTTCTTCGTCCACTATTCCAAAGCATACGTGAGGTACAGAAGGGTGGGGGTGGTTGTGACCGTACTCCATAATTGGTCAGATACTGAACTGGTGAAACAAATTTGTGACAGCCTCCTAAACTAGTACAATGTTGCTAACTTAGAAACTGTTTTATTTCTCTCTGTGACACCTGCAGGAACATGCTAACTCAAAGAAGGCTGGTATTTATGTCAGGCAGCTTTAGAATGAATTTTCTTATCTTTCTATCTAAAAGTGTGTTTACCTATTTTCAGATATTTTATTCTCAGTGTTGCGCTTGAGCCCTACATAGATCCATTTTAATATTATACAACAACTGAATTCATAATTTATCCATGAAACTTGAAAGTTTGTCATTTAGTTTTTTATTAGCTTTTTGTTTTTTGAAAAGGACTTTCTATCACTGTTGTGATAAGTCTTACACAGATTATTTTTTATTATACTAACATGAAGTGAGTTCCTGGGGCTGGATGGACATGCTGAGACAAACTTGGTTCCATTAGAGCCTCCCCATATGGAAAAGAAATAGTAAAAACATATATGATTTACTCATGAAAGTGGCCACTTTCTCATTACCTTCATATTTTTTTTTAGTAAGTATCCAAAACATACAAGTTTCATTATATCATTTTTCAAGGGATCTTATATGTGTTTTCACTCTTGTATACTTTTCATACAAGTTTCATACAAGACAGATAAAAACTTTATAAGATTTATATATATCTTTTCCTTATGGGTCCTGTTAGAAATTAAAGCCTTTCTGATTTGTGCAATTGAGAAACCTCAAATTCTGGCTGCGCTTTCTCTCAGCCTGCAGAGAAAATATGTCTCTCACACGGAAATATTAATTTTCTGCAATTCTGAGTGATGCAGATTTCAGGTTGTAGAGTTCACGTTGTCACCTCAGTTTTAATTAAAATCGACCACTTCTCTTACGGCTTATCAACCAAAATTACACCCAATTTAATGCCAATTTGAGTTTCCATTAGAACCACCCACATTGCTAACTCTATCTATCACTGGGACCTAATGAGTAACTGAAAACACTTAAAAAAAATCACCATCCTGAATGTTTCGTGCCTTGAGCGCTTGCAAATTGTAGCCGTGGAATTTTCCATCGCTACTTCGCTTCCTACACACCGCAAGAGCTAATACAAACTCTTTGCCAAACCATCAAGAAGATGAATAATTCATGTTGTAGAGATTAACATGAACTTATTTCTACAAATTTGCCTTTTTACGTTCGTAAAAATATTCTGATACCGTGTCAAATTAAAACGGACATATTTGCAAAGAAGCTTAACCGTAAAAGACAAAATGCAGACTTCAAATAACATTTTCTCTACATTTGTACCTTTTCCCTTCACAACGGCACGCGCGCGCACGTTAACCACAGGTAAGTCAGGAGAGAGCGCGAGACCCAATAAGAAGTGCTGCAGTCTGCTGGAACAGTATCACAGGATGGGTTCCCCAAGAAGCAGCCAAGAGTTCTTTAGAGCACATACACATAAACACGCAAATGTGTGCACACATCCCCTCCCTCTCTGACACACGCACACATACAGTCACACGATCGCATCTACCTCACACACTTTGCCTCCCCGCCTCCCCTTTTTCTCTCCTCCACGCGCCGAAGCCAAGCGGCTTTACTGTGCTGCTCACCAGACTGTATTCAGACTGTACAATTTCACAGCGCGCTCCTTCCAAGTGCACCACGGTAATCACGGTACAGTAACATTCCTGCACGAACAGGCGAGGAATCAGCCGTGCAAACACGCTCATCAGCAGCTGTCAACAGAACACATCTTCCCTCCTCAACCTGAGGTGAGCACAAAGATCACTCTCTTATACAACATCCTTGGTTGTTTTTTTTAGCGGAATAAAAATGTTTCACCAAGACAGTCAGGGGCATGAGCATGATCTGTCATCCGTGTAGCCGAAACTAAAGTCCTGACGAGCGCATCCAAAGACACGGGGGTCGCTGAGGCGAGCCCAAAAAGTGCGAGCGGCTTTAAAACAGATGCGAAAATGAGGTGGTTTGAGTGGCGTGAAAGAAATGAGAGATACACGAATAAAATGAAGGCGCGGTTTGAAAAGACAGCAGAAGCTGAAGCTACTCACCCTGCAGAGATGAGAGCTGGTCGGACGGTGCAGCCGAGATCTGTGCGCACTGGGAAGCCTGGGTACCAAACTGGCAGATTCCCCCTTATCTCGGTCTCTCTCTTCACTGCTCTCGATACGCACACGCTCTGCCTCTCTATCCCGTGTTCCCCCGAATCTCCCCTCTTCTCCTCTCTGTGCTGCCCCCTCTCTCACTCCTCCCCCTTCTTCTCCGTCTTTACTTCACTCTGCTCTTCAGCACTGCGGAGAATCGCTTGAATTGGCTTCACTGTAGTTCGGGTATAGGGAGGTGGGACTGGTGAGTGTGTGTGTGAAGGGTGTTGGTGTTGGTGGGGTTACAGTGATGTAGGCTGGAGGGAGAATGAGGCTCACGCGAACACGCACAAAAGGCAGCATGGCCCAGGAGCGCGCTGGCTGGGATTGAGGACACATTATGTACACTGAAAACAGAAATGATTCAAACATACACCAACAATTAGTGGCCATTAATGAACAAAACAGCCAAACATACTGTGGGCCTGCATTAATCTTGTCTGCATACTAACAAATGAAAATGAACCTACATGGTTCTCTTCAGGAACAGTTTCAGTTCCTTAAAAGTCAAAAAATCAAAAAGGTCATTATCTTGGAAAACATCAAGTTAGCTGAACCATAAAAGTAGGAACACTTACATTGAAATAAATGCCTGAATATTGGGGCCAGTATTCCCCGATGCCTGCTGGCTGCTATTACAAGATAGTTTTATACAAACAGACAAACAAACAAAAACAATCAGCATCAGATCATCATTTGGCAGCACACTTGTATCATGACTTATAAGCGCAGCCAGTTTTGCATTGTGTAATTAATGAAGCACCAAAACATCTCAAAATGCCCATGTAGCTTAGCCCCTTAATTGGCCATATTTGAGAGGGTAAAGCCCTGTGTTGCCAGCCAGCAAAATCCATCTAACATGTGCAGGTACATGCTATTAGTCCTAAGCAGTGTTGGGAAGGTTACTTTTAAAATGTATTCCATTACAGATTACAGAATACATGCCCCAAAATGTATTCTGTAACGTATTCCGTTACGTTACTC